CCTACCTGTTTTGGTTTTGGGTTTCTTTTCTGATCAACTTTGTTGTCATTGCTTTGACAAAAGTGCATCCACAATAGCATTCTGGTCTGCAACCAATTATAACAAAACACTCTCTTAAAATAATAAAACAACAAAGTGGCAGGATCCTGTGTATTAAAAATTCACTTCATAGGTGTGCCAAGAAAATATATCCAGACTTCAACCCTTTAACTGGATCTCAGGGCCTATGCAACTCGATAGATCTTAACTGCTCATGAAGACTTTCCTGCAAAGGAACATCTTCTGTTTCCCACGATGAGGTTGGAAGCCAACAAATTTTTGCTCTTCAGCTTATCAAAGGTATTTTTTTTTTCCAGGATCTAATGAAACACAGACAAAACAAACCCAGGGGTGGACGTAAAAATCTTGCTAAGTCAAAAATAATTTGTTTCTTCCAATTTTGGGGCTTCAGTGAGCTGGCAGTATATAAAACTTCAAGCTTTATCACAGTCTAGTACAAACATATTTCTTATTCTCATATACAGGATAGGCCGCATGGACAGTAAACAGGAAATTCTGCAGTAGCTTTTAAAGGATCACTGATTAAACTGGAAAGATTGGGTCTGATTGTCTAGAGCAACACATTTAGTGTCCCACTTTTTTTTTTCTTTTTTTTTTTTTTTAAATTTACATATTGCAGTTCCTCATTTTATCTGCAACAACTGCAAAGACTTGAAGTAACCAGCCAAGCTCTACACAGGTTGGTTTTTTTCCCCCTCACATTTTTAGGGCAATTCTGAAGACCCTCATCTCTAACATCATCTCCAACAGCGGCAGCTGAGCATCGGTTTAGGACTGACCCTGCAGGCTCTCAGGACAGGGCAGCTTGCGAAGCGAGGGGACTGCCAGGAGCCATTCAGCAGCAGGGCTTTGGGGGCTGCTCGACCTCTTTCCTATGCAAAGCAGCATATTCAGAGGAAAAGCACTTCCAGTTAAAGGAGTGAGGGGTCAAGACCAACAAGGAGGCTTTGCCCAGAAGTTTTTTACAAGTTATCATGCAGAAAAATAGCTCAGCGCCATCTCCAGTGTGCCTTTTGGCCTTTTTTGTGCATCTTTATTGATGAAAAATTGCTGTAGGGTCAGCAAGGATATGAGCCAAGTGGTTTGGTGACTTAAATGGAAGCACAACTTCAGTTACATGGGTAGGAATGATGGCCCCCGTTCAGTAAAGCACTTAAATACACACTTCGCTTGAAACATAAATAGTCCTGATACAGAAGTTAAGGTTTCACTTAAGGACATTGTTGATGCGAAGCCCACAATCCCAATTACAGAGGCACTTTGAAAAAAAAAAAAAACAAACTGCACAAGCCCTGGAGATGACTTTCACAATGTTTTTGAAAGTGCCAATATTTTAAAAATAAAATTCATGGAGAATTTTAGAGCCTGGGGATATCTTTACAGAAATGCAGTTTGAGTATCTTGAAAATGGCTAATAATTTTGACATGCATCTCAGCTTCTATAGAAAACTTCTTATGAAGTCTGGGTTTCAAGACTGTAGGTTATAAAGAGCCATCATATTTTTACTGATGAAATTATTAAAGGATGCCTCTTAGTCTAGCCTGAGCTTGCAGTCATTGATTAAACTCTGGGTACCACTGAAGAATAGACAAGAAGGTGGGAAAAGCTGGTAGCCTGGGGTTGTGGTCCTAATTGCATGCTTACACTTGCATTTCTATAGCTTTTAACTTGATGACATTTTAAATTGAGTGATTAATCGGCCTTTACTTTATTATTTGCAACGTACACATTTAACACTGAAGGCCAGATAAACTAGCCACCATAAATTAGCCACCTTATTGGCAGGTTATACCACCTAGAGCATCTGGTCCTCCCTGAATTAATTTGTACTGTAGACAGGAACCAAGTACAAGTCTTCTTTTAAATTCATGTGAAAAATGCGAATATTCATATTTTTCACTCGACTTAGCTCTCTGGCTAGTTGTGTTTTTCTTAAACAGGTTCTCCAAATCCAAAGTGGCATGATGCATGGGACTTACCTCTGGGAGTCCTGCGCGTTCAGCCCTTCTTGCAGACTAGCATTTGCCGTGTGGCAGGATGTGAGTTTCGCTCATCAGGCTCTGCGCTGCTTGCCGTGGGAAAGCACTTGGCACCACTAGAGTTTTTTTCAGGTAGGACATCTGCAGAAACTGGGTTTGTGCAGCAGATAAAGCAGCTTGACATTTCTTGGCCTGCCGGGTCCTTTCATAGAAGTGGCACACAGGAAATCATGCTCTGCAGTTATGTAAAATTCATTTTCAAAACTCTTCAGCATTAATTCTTTATCATATTACATTGCAATGAGGCAGGAGGGGGAGCAGGCCAAGGGAGAAGGAGAGACAGAAAAGACCTTCTGGTTTTGAAGTGAGATTTAGGGTCAAGGTTCCCAGGCCACTACGAAAACCATCAATACCATGCCCAGTTTCTGCCTCTGAAGCATTCATATGGGCCATGAGGGTAAATACAGCCGAGTGAAGTTACCGATCTTCCATTAATGTGTGCAGCAACATCAAACTCCAGTTACTGAGCTCACCATAGGAACCCAGCAAGCATCCAACCTCCACTTTCTGATTCAGGAAGCACGAGGAAAGCCAAACGGCAGGTGAAGAAGGAAGGGAGGACGTGGCCTCATGGTCAGGGGGATGATACGTGCACAGAAAGGCCCTGGGAGAGATCGGAGAGGTGCAATACAAGCACAGGGCACGGTAAGGATCACGAGGTCAGGTCACTGTCGGTGATGAAGCGCGGGTGAAGTCAGCAGTCCAGTGCAGAAGTGCATGAGGGAAACTGGGAACGGCTGGGACACAGTGCAAAACCAGTTTGGGAATCAATAGGTTTGACTGGAATGCTTAGGTTAAAAACCTGGCTCCCAAGTGAAAGTATTAAGCTGCCTAAGTTAGACAGAAGTCAGATACAGTCAGACAGATCCAGAGACATTAAAGTCTACCCTGCTAATAATAGGGCTCCAGTGGTTTAGAAATTTTACCCTAACTTTTGTTTTCACTGAAATGAATCAAAATAATAAAAATACTCTCAAAATTTAATGATCCATTCTAATAATTTTTTTCTTTTTTTTTTTTTCATTAGAAGTGCTTATTATAGCAGGCTAGGCTTAGTAATGGAACCCAATTATCTTTATACATCATACTAAATGTAAAACATTACTATTCCTATAATTTAGGTCATGAAATAAAAATGTCACCAGTGTTGTTACTTTAGGTTTTAATAATGATTTTCTACAACATGAAATAGTTTGATTACCAAGACCTACCGGTGGTCAATGATGGCAACTCACAAATAATGCTCCACACTCTTAACAAATGGCACACAAAACTTACCTTTCATTAAGCGTTTTAATAACTGGAAGTTGTTCGATCCTGATTTTTATACAGCCAATTATACATTAACATGTACACATACTCAATTCCAGTCACAGTGTATATATATTTTTGGATCCGCAGCAATATAAAATGAGTTCTACCTGTATATACATGTGCAAGTCTGAATGAGTCCTGAGCAGTTTTAAAGTACTATTAGTCAAATCCTGTAAATTTTAACCGATGCAAATAAAACTCGGGTTTTACAGTGTTATGCTATTGTGAAGAAGCTATTTTTCAAAGAAAGAAATATAGCACTTTGCATTAGCTTTATGCATAGCTATGAGCTCTGTACAGTGCAGAGCATCCACTTACAGTCTGGGTAATTAGAAAATCTGAAAAGATGCTGACCGCATTCTTCGGTTACTATTGCTTCCTCTGCTTCTTAATTAATGGCGAGTGATTCGTTCTGCTTCAAAACAATCAAGTGTGGAAGACTTATGCAGCAGAAAGAATATAATTTAAATCTGTATATATTTTTGTAAACATTCAAGTTACCCAGGCCCTTTAATTCTTCTGAGGAAAACTATACAATTATACAGTCAAATAGTTAAAATGTATGTCTGGGAGGGGAAAAAAATGAAACAACAGTGGAGTACGAGCATTACCTTAAACGCCACAGTATGCTATAAGGAAACAAAAGAGGAAGGGTTCTTTAAGGAACAGCTTGGACAAACCGAAAGGCTGCTCAGAAACCCTCTGTCAGCATGACAGACCGCCATGGTAAACACGAGATGCTCTCGCACCACCAGAACAAATTGTCTGAGCAAATGGGAAGGAAGCACTCCCGCTAAGGAGCGGATCCAAACACAGCACGAGAGTCAGAATCTTTGTACAGTATTAACAGGGTAACTTACACAAAAATGTCTGTATACCCCGTGCCAGAAAAATGCAGGCACTAATATGAGAACTGGTAAAGGCCAAAGGCTAGCGCTGGGGCGTAGCTGTCTTTAACTGGAGTTGTTTGGATGCAACTTCCCAGGTGTGCAGGAAGGTACCTTTTTTCCTTTCCCCCATTTCTCTCGCACCGCAAAAGTGAAGGCACCACTCCAACTATGCTCCTCCCGCAGAAGGGTCCTGGCCCAAAAGTTAGCTGGTCCCGTGGCTGCTATAGTCAAAAACGCCTTTCCTGAAGAAGGGTGAGAATTCGCAGATGGTGTGTTTTGACAGAGTTAGCCCCACTTTATCAATGTGCAGCGGAGATGATGGAGATTTCAGCATTGCAGAGAAAAAGCTCCTGAGGTATTTCTGTGGAAAAAAGATGCGAAGTGTCATAAGGTTTACTTGATCAAATTGATTACGACCACTTTGAAGAATTAAATGAACAGTGGTATAAAAAAAAAAAAAAAAAAAGAAACAAGATCTCCATGGACTCTGAAAAGTCCTTTTAATAACCATCAGCATTTAAATCCATCCATAAAACATACCTACTGAAATGTCTGTATTAAGCTCAGGAAAAGCAGAAAAGAAGTATTTTCCACTTTCTTCTCCTGCCAAGCTTAGTAACTGTTTGATTCTGCACTTCTGTGATGCTTTCTGGTTTATTCTGTAGTCATGTAATGCTTTCTGCTACTCATGACCTGCTAGTACTGCCGTCTAGCATTACCAAACACTATAGCAGGTGCAAACCTCAAATCCATTCTGCAGGAATTTCACTACATATGGACACAAAAGGCCTTCAGAAATCTTTCCCTCATCAAGTCTCCACAATCCTTGCACCAAAAAGGATTTGTTTTGATCAAGGCCATCTGCACAAAGATTGCATGACTTCCATATTATTTCAGAACCCACCAGCATCTTTTCACTGAGCTGCCCTCTAAATTTCATGTTTTTTAAAGTCTTACACATAAGAAACATTCCCCTTTCCAAAAGTTGACATTCACCAACCGCTGTGCGACTCGCATCCATTTGTATCTAGAGAAATTGTGACAGATGTACGTTAACACAAAGTTAGTTTTCACAAACCTGACGGGGTTTCCTTCACATATGGGTTGAATTATTGCAATAATTTAGCATGATTTAGTAAGTCATACTTGTAACTTTTGAATGAAACACAGTAGGTAAAACGTTGATCAGGCAGGTGCTAAACAAGTACCCATTGTCACCCAAAGAGTTGTAAGGCAAATCTCACATGGAGCACAGGGATAAGCTCCTTTGCTCCGCTACAGACTGACCACAGAAAAAAATAACTTGAGAAATCATTCACTAATCTTGGATTCAGTGGGAAATATATCTGTAAGACAGAACAGCACAATCTCCTCTGAAGAACACAAAGTTTAGTTATTTGAATGCAGCAGCTTTTGGGTTGTGGGAAGCAGTTCGTTCAGAAACAGTCCTAATTATTCACCCTCTTCTCAAGGAGAATTCCTCCATACTATAACAACCTGTTATCTATTTAAGTGTCTTGGAAACCGGCTGTATTAATATCACAGAAAGCAGGATAACAAAAAACAAAAACCAAAAAAGCAGCTGGCGCATAAGCTATTCTCTTGGCAGGATTGGTGAATTTTCTTTTTTATTCAGATCTCCCACAGGTTGTATTAATGTTCATGAAGAAAAAAATTTCATTACAAAAATGCCTTCAAGATGAATTCCAACAGACTAAGAGGTAATTTAAAGTGAGCAACAGATGTCATATCAACATTTGTCATAATTAGTTCACAAAGTAGGGCCCTTTAAAAAAAGTCCCAATCCAGTAATGCCTGAAGGATGAATATGGCAGAAAATCAAATGTAAAACATGGCATCCTGTTAAGAGTTTTAGCACCATGCTGAAAAGTTACTGCAGTAATTCCAGTTTATGGCTACCGAAGGCTCAAAGGTACCACAATATGTCGCCGGAGACATTACAAGACCTATTGCGTTCACCTTGGTATGTATGGCCAGATAATTGACTGTCATGCCTTTCCTGTAGAGCCATTACTCATTGTTTTGGCATGATAGCTCTAACGGCAGAGTAAAAAAAATATCTCTGCTATAAGCATATACTTATCTGACAGGGAAACACTACAAACTTATTTTCCCAGATCTGCGCACCAGAGTTGCTCAGTGAATATCACAGATTCTTTGAACATGAAAAAGATCCTTGGGAAAAAGGCAACAAGCAGACCCTACCAGATTATGATGGAATTCATTTTGTATGAAGGTCTCCAGCCATATGGCTTGGCATTATGTGCTCTTCAACAACCACCTCTGAGCAAATTAGCCCCCTTTCAAATCCTCTGTCTGCATTTGCCCTCATTTGCAATGCTGATTTGTTAGCATAGCACAGAGCTGATGTGCCCTTGACACAAAGAAGCTGTTGCTTCAATGAAATAAGGGCTGCTCTGCCCACATATGCTGGCTAGGAGTGAAGTCCCATAGTAAGGGAAACAGTGATTGACGGCAGAAATGTTTGCTCACACCACAAGCATATGCCTTGATTAAAGAGCTGAGTCTAGGCAGTAAGGGGGAAGGTTGCTCTGTCCTGTCGGCTGCAACGTGGACAACGAAGTGGAAGAAAGTGGTAGGAGAAAAGGAAGAGTGCTCCTTATCGGTGTATGGAAAGATGCTTCCCAAATTCAGATGGGATAGGGAGAGGACGAGGGTCACAGCAAGCTGGGAAAGGGACAGGAGCACATCAACACCAAGTGCCAGAGATGAAGGAAAGAAAACTTTCTTAAAGATCCAGAAAGGACTCGACACGGACTTTGTTGCAACCCAGGAGGCTACTGCAAGCTGCTGGAGTGGGAGCAAGGCTAGATGAAAGGATCTCCTGCCAGGACCCAGTGGGCAGGCGGAGTTGTTTTCAAAGCTTTTATATTAAATCCATTTCCAGCAGCAGATACAATTTTTCTCTATTTACAGAATAGTGTTATTTGTGCTGATTTAAAACTAGGGAAGCACTCTGGTATCTTTTGGTGCGCTCCCTTAAAAAAAATTTCTTAGCAGACACTGGCAAGCTCAGGGTGCCTTCATAGAAACATGTCCCAATTTTATACAAATCTGTGATTTCCTACCAGTATTTCACCAATGGCATCTAAATCATTGCCCCTAGTATGCAAAGCACCACCTTATAGCAGTCCTACTTTTGCTAGGTTTGCATGATTACACTAGATAACTGCTGCAAATATTCCAAAAGGCTTGGTTTTATTACTCGTTTTTGTTTGTTAGCCTTTCAAAACTCTAGCCATTTGTTCTGGATTATTTAGTCTGGTAATCAGTGTTCTTCCAAAAGCACTTAGGACTTTGATCTCACTAATAGTGTTCTACTTGCTATGTTGCTGGTTTGCTGGAAAAGATACTAATAATAAATTTGTCAACATGTCAATGTGAAGGCACAGGACCCTGGCACTGTAACAGGGATGTAAAATGGGTAACTTACACACCAGTCGTGTTGGTTGCTCAGTCTAAACACACATTCAGGAACACCAGTTTAGAGAATGGAAATACTCTTGGCATGTACAAAACTCTTAAAGATTGAAAGCCAGGTTAAAAAAAAAGTCCAAAATCAGAAAAGCAGTGGTTTCACCCTCTTGGCACGCATTACAACCTTCATGGCCTTTTACTTAAAATTTACGACAGCCATACCTGCAAGTTTTAACTTTGTATTCCAACTGTTTGCAAAGGAAACAAGACTGAAGAAAGTGTTGCGAGGCCCGAAGGTTTTTCTTTACTTACTAGTTTGAGTAGCTTTCCCTCCCTTTTAATTATGTGAATAGCAAAACGGCAACCATTTTAAAAGCTTATTAAAAATCATTTTAATAGGGTTCACCTTTTTAGCAGTAGGCCAGCGTTCATCTCATGCTCAATCCATCAGCACAGCAAAGTCATTCTAATGATTTTTGCACTACTTTGTGATGTGGGGACCTCATAATTTTATACATTTTAATATAAACCCATAACTTAATTTAAAGTTATTAACGTTATTAAAATCAAAAAGCTTTTTGGAATGTTAAAGTGTTCTTATCATCCCTTCAATTGTGGCATATTAAAGAGGAATTCAGTTCAATGACATTGTTCTCATAATCCAAACAGTGACGGCCTCAGAGACCAATAGCAGAGCTTAGCAAGAATTGAATTTTTCATTAAACTTTGGTGTGTTTAAAAACTCATCAACTCTGGTACTTCCAGAAAGGGAAGAAACTTTGAGCTTTCTCTCTCGTACTGTTGTTTCTAGCAATTTCCTCAAAAAAGTCAGCATTTTAAATTCTTTAAATATAACTTAGCGTAATAAACATCACCTGCTAATATTTGACAGAGCTGAAAGCACCACAAACTTTAATAAGATAAACCTTACAAGGCTTTAGTGATTTTTGAAACAATAGCCTCTTTTCTCTGAAACGATACCCCCCTTTCAACACCTACCCATCAATGTGACAGTCAAAAGCTTTACCGCAAGGTCACAGAAGGTCATCGGTGGCAGAGGCAGGACTAATTAACTTGCTCATCTAACTTCTAGCATTGGCTCCTCTCTCCCTTTAATACAGATGCTAGTTTCTCCCAGCACCAATCACATAATTATTCTGTTGACTAGTGTTAAGTGCTGCAAGCTTTAAATCAAGTCTTGATTTGAATTATTCATAGAGCAAAGCATATGCAGGTATCAACAGCTCCTTTCTATAGGATAGGAATCTAATTACAAAAAAAAAAAAAAAAGACAGAGACAGAAACATATTCCTTGACTCTGAAAAACCACATTATGCTGCAATTAGATATTTGCAAAGTAAGATCCTCCCAAGGAAGACTCTAGCCCAAAACAAGCAGACAGGAACATGCTTCGCTTCCAATCTGTGATCACAAAAATAAGGATCTGGTTAGAAGACAACGCATGTGAAGGGAGCCTGCTGTAATGCAGAAATGGGAGTGCATCTCCTGCCTTTGTCTCCTAGAAATAAATTGTTGGGCATATGTGAAGGAAAATGTACATTTGGGGATCCTTTCCCAAATTAATCAACTTTCTCTATTTTGGATCTTTCCACTGGTGTCTTGAAGCGAAAAAAAATTACTTCCAGGGTGTTTTTTCAAATACGAAATGCTACAGAAACACCCGCTATCATTCCTAACTACAGTCTCTACTACAAAAAAAGCCTGGCTTAAATGGCACTGACAGAAGATGGTGCTCCACAGAGAGTTCAGGCTGGCAAAGGGCCCTGTCTGGGGTGATGCTATATACAGAATCTGAAGAGAAGAGATTGTACATCTTCCCAAGAAAAACAGGATTCAAACTTCTCATTAGATCTGCTTCTTCCATGGCTTGTTTTTTTTTTT